CGGATTACCCATCCAACTTACAGAGGCAAACGGTAGCCACCAGTTAGCATAAAGCATGAAACATTCAATCTGTCGAACAACCGTTTGCACAATTAATCTTGCATTAGATGTTCATTCGATGGACTCCGGTGGATTCTAAGGAAAACCTGCCGGGGCAGCAGAGCGTGCGTTGCACGAAAGCGTAGGCGGCGTCCATGCGTGGGTTCGAGTCCCAGAGAGGCTACTGAACTTTTCACAGTCTCAACATAAAAAGCTTCAATCTACCAAACTGTCGCCCTTTATCGTTTGTACCTTTGGTTAAACACGTTAGTGGTACAGTGTTCAGGCTCTAGACCAGTTTTCGAGATAAATGTATTGACTTGAAATAATAATAATTATAACAATAGTGATAATAATAATAATAAATTACTTCGCATTCAAAAAAGCGAATCTGATTCAGTCGTATAACGAAGAATGCCTTACTGCGCTGCTTACAAAGAGGTCTTTCACATGCTTTGATCTAGATCAGAAGCAGCCTGAAGTGTGACCTCTGTATTTACCTATGTACTGCTGCTCAAAATTTGTGCCTTTATCACAATCCCAGCAAACTGTGCGGCGAAGAGAACACAATATATATATATATATACACTGATCAATGAGTTCAAGACATGCTCTTTAATGGACCGATCGGGGACGGGTGGGGGGGGGCAGACTAAATCGATCGGCCAATTCGATTGCAATCCTGATTGGTTAACTGCTCGGTTAGATTGTTGTGATTAATTGGTTCTGTGGCTTTCCAGGCAGGTTCAACTGGCCAATCTTGTTGTGTGCGTGCATCAATTGCCATTTCACAAATATCGCACAATCCCTTTTTCATTGTTACTTCATTTCATTGATAACAGAATAACACAAATTTCAGGGGTGTGTGTGGTTGGAAGCGGCCAATCAAACGGGGCCGCCATACAACACACAAATTAGGAGTCAGGTGCTGGTGGTGGTGGTGGGGGTGGGGTGGTCAAGCACACGTTTTTCGGGATGATGATTATTTTCGACGTTACCATCGGGCCAATATAGCCCTGTTAATAGCACTAATCCAAACATAAGGTATGATGGCAATAATTCTACGGGGCTGGAAAATTTTGACTGCATGGTCCCCTCTGTACTTGTACCTGTACCCAAATGAAAGCACAGTCATCCATTTCCACTGTACGGAAATTTTCTTACCAGCCATTTTAATCACATAAATTCCTATTGCCCGTGTTTATTCGGTGACCGAATCTTAACTTCCATATTGAGCACTGTTTCAATTCGACCGAACTGCAGATCGCTAAACACGATAAAACTATATCCAATCAATCCCGTTTCCATTTTCAACACCGCCCTGGGAGAATTTGTTGTATTTTTAAATCTGTTGGAACGGTTAACAAGTTAATCGCGCTCCTAAGTAGGCCTCACCGAGTTGTATACACATGTTCACCTTGTTTTCACGGAATTCAACGTGAATCAATCCAGTGCCCTGGTGTATTATGGTGCGTTTCTTCTAGTGTATGATTTGATTTCTGCGTTTAATCGAAGCTATTTCATTTTCAGCAATTGATCGAACCAGTAGTTCATTCAGACCGCTGATGTTTCTTCATCTTGCTAGACCTTCTTCTGATTGCACACACACACACACACACACACACACACACACACACACACACACCAAGGGTATCATCGTATACAGACACACAGAGATAAAAAGTAAAATACAGCGTTGTATATTCGGGAGGAAGATGGCATGAATATATATATATATATATATGGATATATAAATGGATATCATTTATCCGGAGAATGTTAAAACGTTACCTCCAACGGATGTTTGCTGTTTGCTAGAAATCTCGAAAAATACGGTGGGCAGTGGTATGCTTATACACAAGCTTATAACGACACCTCGTTACAGAAGTGGATACACATTGTGTTATGTTCTGTGTGTTAATGCGTGATAGATGTCTGATAGAATATTATGGTAGAAGTTTTCGCAAGACACAAAAATGTTTGTCGGCGATAACGGTGATCAAGTGTCAATAGGGAAAAATGCTTCCGCGATAAATAATTCTCATACATCGGCGTAGAATCACGCAGTCTTTAACTATAAGACCGGGAAAATAAAACCGGGTAGCAGTAGAGAAGATAAC